TTGAAGAGCCCCCCCAGTTAGCCGGATGCACCAGAGGCCCCCTGCGCCAGGGCTGAGCCCCCGTGCACCCACCCGCCCACAACCTCGGTGACACACCGACGAGGACCAAAGCCCCCAAGGCCCAGCCAGAGCCCCAGCACGGAGGCGAAGCACCCCTGAACCCCAAACCCCCACACCTGCCCCGGATCCACTCAGGGGCAGTCAGGCCACCAGGCCAGTAACCTACGTCCACCAGTACAGACCATCCTCCAGCCCCGCTGCACGCAGCCACGAGGAGAACAACCTCTAAGAGCAACCAGAGCCACTAACCAGGTTATGAACACAACCCCCGGGTTAAGCCCTTCAGGGATAACGTCTCTAGGGGTCCTCCAGGCGCCCTAAGCCCGTCCCAACTCCACATCAACCACAGTAGCTAAGGCGGGACAAAACCACGACCCCCTACCCCTGCTAGGTGATGGAGCCGATCAAAGGAGCCCAGAGGGATTGATCTAATGTGGTGGCAGAGGCTATATCGAGACTAATGTGATCTATTAGATGGTTTCTATATTGGCTAGAATTAAGATTATTTTTATTTTTCCAGTTCATGAGGACTGTTTTCTTGGCGATGCATAGGGCCGTAAAAACCATGTGGACTGTATTAGTTTCTGTAGTGACCTCATCCAATTTTCTCAACAAGCACACTAAAGGGGAGGTTGGAATTTTACATTTCAGACACTTTGATAAGTCTTCACATATCTCGTGCCAAAACTTCTGCACTGGTGGACAGAACCAAAGAGCGTGGATGTAATTGTCTGGTGTATTGCCTTGACAGTGTGAGCAGTTGTTGGAAGATGTAAAGTCCATCTTGAACATCCGATGACCTGTATAGTGCACTCTATGTAGTGTTTTGTATTGTATTAATTGCAGACTGGGATTTTTAATCAATTTAAAGGTTTTTAAGCATACCTGAGACCAGAAGTTTTGGTCTAAGCTGACTGATAAATCTGCTTCCCACTTTGCAATAGGAAGGGATATTGATTCATCTAATTTAAAAAGTGTTCTGTATATTTTAGATAATAATTTGGGGGGTTTAAGAGTAAGAAAATGTACCGCACTTGGTGGTGTTTGTAATTCAACTTGACTGAGGTTAAATTTCTTTTTTACTATGGATTTAATTTGTTGATATTCTAAAAATCTTTTCTTGTTGATCCCATATTGTGCAACTAGTCTGTCAAATGGAATAAATTCGTTTCCCTCTAATATATGTTCTAAGTATTTAATTCCTTTACAACTCCATTCTGGGAAATTAATCATATTATTGTTTTGTAATATGTCAGGGTTATTCCAGATAGGTGTACGTTTGCATGGGATTAATGAAGACTCCGTTATTTTTAGAAACTCCCACCATGCTGTCAGAGAAAAGCTGATGTTGATGCTTTTAAAGCATTCATGTCTTTTGATGTTTGAGCTAATAAATGGTAGGTCTGAAATCTCTAGACCATTGCATAGTGCCTGTTCAACATCTAGCCAGGGCTCATCTAAGAAGGTATGTTTTAACCATTCTGAGATGAACTGAAGCCTGTTGGCTAAGAAGTATTGGTGAAAATTAGGCAGATCTAATCCTCCCCTATCCTTGGTTCTTTGTAGCGTTTTTAAGCTGATACGCGGGGGTTTATCTTTCCAAAGGAATTTAGAAATATATGAATCCAGAGATCTGAACAAATCTTGTGATGGTTTGTTAGGGCTCATCAAAAATAAGTAATTTATTTTTGGCAAGATCATCATTTTTATAGTGGCGACCCTTCCCATGAGTGATATGGGTAACGATTTCCATCTAGTCAGATCGCCTTCTACTTTCTTTAGAAGTGGGATGTGGTTTAATTTAGTTAAGTCTGAAAGCTTAGGAGAAACATTAATACCTAAATATTTAATATTTCCAGATTGTAGTGGGGCAGAGGAAGAATTATGGAAGGAGCAATTAATGGGAAGAACTGTAGATTTTGACCAGTTAATTGAATAATCTGAAACTCTTGAAAACCAGTTTATTAGAGTAATTACCTCAGAGAGGTTGGTTTGTGTGTTTTGCAGAAAAAGCAACACATCATCCGCATAGAGACTGATTTTATGTTCTATGTTCTTACATTTTATGCCCTTAATTGTTGTAGCCTGTCTAAATGCTGCTACTAGAGGTTCGATAAAAATTGCAAAAAGTGAAGGGGAGAGTGGTTCCTTGAATTAAGTGATACACCTAAACTGCAGCTCCAGACTTTTGTTCTTTTTGCCTAAAACAAAGACCGCAATGTCTCTGTGAAATACCTCAGCAGCTTTTAAATTACTGCAAGCCCAAATCTGTGAGAGGAGAACATGTACATTTTTTTGGTTTGTTTTTGTTTGGTTTGTTTGGCCAAGCTTGTCAAATCCATCACATTTCAAGTGCAGAGTACAATCAGATTTGTTTTGACTCTCACTGCCAAACTTTCTTTTCAGGCAGGTTGACGGGTTACCACAACTCTTCCCAGTAAACAAGCAACTTATGAATACATGTGGCTTTTGTTTGGAGGAACAACTTCTAATTAGATGGTGTTGACAAAGAAGAAACAAAACTGCAGCAATGTAAAGCTAGTTTGAGCCAATAGATGAAAACTGTGTAACTTGGGGAGATATTTTGTCTTTTAATAATATAAGTGTAAGGTTGTAGCAGGATGACTGCACTGAATGAACTCTTAAAGTTAAACATTTCTCCTGTTGCACTCAGTCTGATATTCTGTCTTTTCTGTACCATGCCTACTTGCTTGCTCTGCAACATCTCCTGATGAGTCACCAACGCCGAACCCTGTTCATTTAAACAGCATTTAATAAACACTGTTAATTAATTTCAATTAATGTCATTAACATTAAATCCTGCCAGTTTGGCAGGTATAACCAGGCAAAAGGCCCTAGGCCTAGCTGCACCAACTGTTTAATAAGCCTGAATTAAGAGAACTTTTGCACACAAAATTAAACCACTCCAACTATTTACGTAAAAACTGCCAGGTAAAAATGTGCTTAACTGAATCAGTTAATGCTAGCTGTTATCTAATAAACATGAACCAACCCAACAATCTACCAAAACTACTGTTATTTCATTAATATTTAATCAAATTAGCATTAGCATTAACTCAACAACCTAAAATTAGCTAACACGTGGCCTATTTAGAGTAGCTAATAAAACTAATATATATATATATATATATATATATATATATATATATATATATATATATATATATATATATATATATATATATATATATATATATATATATATATATATCCTGTATAGCAAACCACTGACAAAGCTAACATTTAAGTGCTAATATCTGATCTTTTAAGATAAAGCTAGTTCAAGTGGCTAACTTAGGTTAGCAACTTGCTATTATAGTAACTAATATGTAACTTGTTAGGAGCAAGCCAACTCAACAATCGGATAAATCTAATGCTAGCCTGCAAACATAAGACTTATTTAAAAGTGTGCTAACTCAACCAACTGACATGTGTCACAAGCTAATAGTGATAATAGTAAGCAACACTGCAAACAGACCTGGAGCACTGGTTAGTGGAGTCATGTTTTCAAAGCTTTTTTGCATTCATCCTAGCAATTTGAAACCAGATTGACGAGTGCAGGACAAGAAGCTACGCTCACTGACCTGTCAATGACAAAGTAACCCTCTTCTTAAGAATGCCTTCTGTTCTTCTGCTTTTTTACTCTAATTTGTGACCAAGAATTACAAAATAATCATCACATCATATTAAATAATACGTAAATCCCGTAAAGGAAAGTGGTTAGTCAGGCTCAAGAGGCCTGGGGCTGTTTTCCCATAGATTTCAACAATGGATTAGAAACCAGAGGAGTCACACCCTGCTGGTTATTAGACAATGTAGATTCTTTTCACATCTTTTTAAAATTTAACTTTATATAAAAGGCTACAGTTAACTGTCAACCCTGTGGCCCTTTGAAATGGATCCTTCACTGCCTTACTATGGTGTTCAAACTTCTTGGTATTTTTCAAATAATTAAATTTAGCAGCCAAATTCTCACATTTGGAAGAGCTGACAGACTGTCGCCTGCTGAAAGTGTCTTTTTTTTGTTAAGAAAAGGGGGGGAGGACAGGTTATAAAGCAGTAAACGTTTAATTATTTGCGCAACAGGGAAATAAAACTGTGATAATAGTTCCAGATAATTAAGCTAAAGCCCAAAATTAGGTAGGAGCGCAAACATCCTAAACGCTGCATGAAGTCTGGCAGCTGAAAAAATAAATAAATAAATGACAATGTCATAGGGAAGATTAAGACTGGGTTAGATCAAAGTTTACATTTACATTAGTGGTAATCACAGTGCACAGTTTCATGAAATGACCCTGTGTCTTCTTGCTGAAAAGGCACAACAAGCGCTGCGTAAAGCACAACATGGATGGCCTGTGGCACAGCTGGGGCGCTTCACTTATTGTAGGTTGTTAAAAACCATTTACAGAATAAAATTCAGGCAGTGTTTGAGGACATCAGCGTTTAAACATGAATTCTCGCAGTCTCAGTAAACACAGCGGGCAGATAAAGCTGAGCAGACCCAATTACCGAAGTGCATACTGGTAAGGGCAGTTTGATGAAGGCGCAGGGATCCTGATAACAACACAAAGGAAGTGCGATAAAGAAACAAAGAGGAAGGTAAATCCGCTCGTACAGGAACTTCTTGTGCTTTTGCAAAAGTGCACACTGCTAAAATACTCATTTTCCTAAAATAAGTACCTAAATAAAGTCACTATCATGCATTCCGTGTTGCGCGAATCTCCGAGCACAATGCGCACGCAAAAGTGAGCAGACAAAGCCAAACAACGGGGATGCTGCTCCTACCTTTGCACGACAAAACAAAGCAATCCTCTCTCTCATGATAACTTGTTTCTTCCGTGTTTCGAACCCCTTAGACCAGGCTTCACTCACCAAATCACCGTTTTAAGAGATAAGAGGAAGAGAGACACGGCGCTTACCTTTTGTTAGTTCCTCTGTCTGCCTGATGTATGACGGCGGATGTCTGCTCTCCACCGCTCCTCTGTAGATTTAAGCAGGGCACCAGCAGCAGCAGAAGAGGTGGTTGCGAAATTGTTGGTACGCGCTTCGGCTTGTTTAGTGGGCGGCGTGGCTCTCCACTGTTTTCATCCCGTGTTTCCAACCAGCCCTCCCACTCCTTGCACTCACGCTGTACTCGCTCAGCCTCCTTCTCAAAGCGGATACGCCCTCTCACTGTCAGGGGAAGACAAAATAATGTGTATAAATAAATACATCACAGGCTGCAGGTATCAGAGTAAAGCAGGCTGCGCTGCGATGTGATGCGGGTCCTGCTGCACTCCCGAGCTCCTCTGGGGCTCTAACTGCTCTGCAAAAGGCATGTGCGGTTTTAAAGTGGAAACAGATGCCCGGAGGAGGAGGGGTACAGTCTGTCCTTTTTGACAAGTGCCATTCAGAAAAGCTGGGGTATGTCTACACCCCACGCAACCACCCCCCAGCTCCTTTCATGCCTTATTATATTAATTAATCCGAACCCTAGATACACAAAAACCCACGATGTTTGACCCAGTTTCACCTCTGGTCTCCCATCCAGTCCAGACTTATTTGTGCCCCCTTTTAAGCCCTAACAACCCCCGTGGTTACCCAAGTTCCTTTAACTTGGTTGTCCTACTTTTTAAGTGGCCTCCATTTTACATTTTAAGTGCCTGCCCAGTATCGCCCATTCACGCAGTCATTAATTTCAAGCTAAATCTCCTCCTATATCCATTTCTTCCTAAAGGCTGTTCCCACGTGCATGCCATTTCCATGTATAGCTCCAGCAGGCGGCCTCCTCCAACAACAGGGAAGCTCAGGTCGTTGTCACGCCATATAAGGGCGGCTGTGAAATGTCATAAGTGAGTGAACCTCAACTATAAAAACACTGCCAGCTGTAGTGGCTGACATTCAACTACAAACTATGGATCTACCACCCACCTAAACACTAGGGCTGTTTTGACTGAGCATCCATGATCCCAGGGTTTTGTGGTTCAGATTCTTGTTTGCCATTATGATTTTTTTTTATTCTTGATTCCTTTTCATGATAATTCTCTTCATGCACTGTAGGTTTTGGTCAAAGTGGTATTTTTAGTTCCCTCAGTGTTTCCCCGCCTGAATCAAATTGTCTGTGTGATCAGTATTTCTCTTTTACTTTCTTCCTGCTTCACTTTGAAAGTTTAGTTTCTTTCCATGTCCTGCTTTAGTTAAAAACACCAGTTCCAAAAAAGGAACAGTTTGCAAATATCATATTTTATTCACAAAATACAACATAGAGAACTTATTAAATGTTTAAACTAAGACATTAAAATATTAGCTTGTTTTGAATTTCATGGCGGTATCAGAACTCATGAATGTTGTAGCAGGGGAAGCAAAGGGTTGGAAATGTAAGTGATACTAAAATAAACAGCTGGAGGAATATTTTGCAACTAATTAGGTTAAATGGGAAGTGGTCAGTTACAGACGGAGTCTAAAAAGAGCATCTTTGAGAGGCAGAGTTTCTCAGAAGTAAAGATGGGCAGAGGTTTACAAAATCAGCAAAACTCCATCTACAAATTGTTGAATCAAGACTTTGAATATCATCCAGAGAGAATATGAAGAAATCTCTGTGTGTAAGGGACAAGGTGGAAAATCAATATTGGATGCTAACAAACACTGCCGTGTTCTCTGCGCCAAAGCCCATTTACGTCTAGCAGCTGTTCAAAATGACCTTCTGTTTTTCAGAAAACTGTACAATTGATATGTACAATTTTTTGAAAATGTATTTTCAGAAAAATTAATCAAATGTGTTTATGAGATTTGCAAATCATCGTATTTGTTTTTAATTACATTTTGTTTTAGTGTCTCCTTGCTTTGAGATTTAACTTCTCTGTCTGAATTTTTTCAACTCCTCACTGCAGGCATGTCATGTGCCTGCCTGCTTCAAGTCCTCCACCATAATCCCTGTCCCCAAGAAACCTAGGATCACTGGACTAAATGACTACAGACCCGTGGCTCTGACATCTGTGGTCATGAAGTCATTTGAGCGCCTAGTTCTCTCCCATCTCAAGACCCTCACGGCCCCCTCCTGGACCCCCTGCAGTTTGCATACAGAGCCAACAGGTCTGTAGATGACGCCATCAACATGGCCCTACACTTCATCCTGCAGCATCTGGACTCCCCAGGAACCTACGCCAGGATCCTGTTTGTGGACTTCAGCTCTGCCTTCAACACCATCCTTCCAGACCATCTCCGAGGCAAGCTTTCCCAGATGAATGTGCCTGATCCCATCTGCCGGTGGATCACTGACTTCCTGACGGACAGGAAGCAGCATGTGAGGCTGGGAAAGAATGTTTCGGACTCCCGGACCATCAGCACCGGCTCCCCTCAGGGCTGTGTTCTTTCTCCTCTGCTCTTCTCCCTGTACACCAACTGCTGCACCTCCACCCACCAGTCTGTCAAGCTAATCAAGTTTGCAGATGACACCACCGTTATCGGACTCATCTCGGACGGGGATGAGTCTGCCTACAGGAGGGAGGTTGAACGTCTGGTGTCCTGGTGCAGCCACAACAACCTGGTGCTGAATGCCCAGAAGACAGTGGAGATTATTGTGGACTTCAGGAAGCACACAGCTCCACTCCCCCCCATCATCCTGACTGACACCCCCATCACCTCTGTGGACTCGTTCCGCTTCCTGGGTACCACCATCACCCAGGACCTGAAGTGGGAGCCCACCATCACTTCCGTCATTAAGAAAGCCCAGCAGAGGATGTACTTCCTGAGGCAGCTGAAGAAATTCAACCTGCCAACACGGACGATGATGCAATTCTACACTGCAATCATCGAGTCCATCCTCACCTCCTCCATCACCGTGTGGTACGCTGGAGCCACTATCAGGGACAAACAGAGACTGCAGCGTGTTGTGCACTCTGCCGAGAAGGTGATTGGCTGCAGACTCCCATCTCTGCAGGACCTGTACACCTCCCGGACACTGGGGCGTGCAGCTCGGATCTCAGCTGACCCTTCTCACCCTGGACACAGTCTGTTTGACCTGCTCCCCTCAGGCAGGAGGCTCCGGTCCATTCGCACCAGAACCTCTCGCCATAAGAACAGTTTCTTCCCCTCTGCTGTTGGACACATGAACAATAACCGTATGACTGTTCCCACCACTAACACATGACCCTACGCTGTGTTCACTGCATCATTCCATGTTTGGCACTGATCACCACCTGCACTCATGTATATATCATGTATATATCTATCCACTTAGCACCTTTAATTCTTATTCTTATTTTTATATTTTTATGACAGTATGTTTGCACTGAAGCACCGCAGCAATTTCCTAATGTTGTAAACCTGCTCAACATTTGGCAATAAAACCCTTTCTGATTCTGATTCTGATTCTGAATATCTTCATCACTTTTACTTTTCATTCAGCTACTGCTTCCAATCTAACAATATAGATGTATTAATACAGTCCTGCCTCCATCTTTAGTGCATTGTCTGTTATTTTACCAGCCTGTGCTCCTTGTTTGTTTGTTTTTTGCCACTTCTTCTTCTTCTTTGTGGTTTTAATCAAGGATTGCTCTTTGTGTTTCCTTTTTGGAGTAGGTAGACGGTTCAACTTTATCGCATTCTGTAGATTGGGTCCTCTACACTCTACACCACCACATCATGGGATGTGCCAGCCTGGAAGCCCCACAACTCAAGGACCCAAAGGATTGGCTGCCCTGTCATATTATAGGCAGGATATGTTCACTGCCTGTCCTTCTGATGCCATGTCTACTGGAGCAAGCAAGCTGGAGGCAAGAGCCTGTAAGAAAGTTGGTCTCTGCGGGAGCATAAGGATTCCCAGATCGTGCTGAGGGAGATCGTTTTCTTTTCTAATTGGGAAAGATGAAACATTCTGCAGAAAGCCATGAAGAAACATTCAGAATTGCTTTGTTTCCTGTTGTGACACCTCCACACAAGGCTGCAGTGAGTCAAGCGTGCCTAAAATGCGAGCATTGAATGGTTATGGTTATGCACAAGCAATAACCAATAGATCTGTAATAATCATAGCTTTGGGTGGGTGCTTTTAATATTGTGGCTGATCAGTGTGTTGCAGTTTAAAAGAATAACAAAAGTCTCTTTTAAATAATTGGAGGGAAGGCTGTGGAATTTGGCTTTGAGTTTACTTTCAAGTGATGTCAATTTCATCATTAGACGGTGAGCACAAGGCTCGTGGGGATATCCATATGCCTGCTAGGCTTCTGTGACTGTGCAGATTTGTCCAATAACATTACAGTGCACCAGCTACACATGTATTCTAGGCAGCAGACTTTGTTGTGGACATGGACTGTAAATGATACGATGGCCTGTTCTACTTGTTTGTAATCCACTGAGAGTATAAGCAGAGGCTCAAGTCAGACTTTTTACCCAGAATGTTTGAGTCTCAGTCCAGGTTTATACTTAAGTTTTAGTTTTGCCTTCCCACTTTTATTTTCTGTCACTGTTTGCTTAATTTTATGCAGTAAAACTATTATTATGATTATGGTTTGGATAAGCTCAAATTTCATTGCTTTCTTTCTCCAATGATGATTTTACTGTACCTGTAATTACACCCCCATCTGCACGTCATTTTCTATAAAATCCTTTGTTATCCCCATTTAATACTGATGAGAATGCAAATGACCTATAAATAGGCAAAGGAGTGCATTTTAGTAGCCATACAAATGGAAATGAAAACAACTGGCTTCTTAGCAGGAGCCTGATAGATTAAGCAGTAGGTGGGGGCCCACTGGTCACCAAACACCTCTATTGTTGCTAAACGACCCTGAGGCTAACCTAAACAGCCTAACTGTTGCTGTTGTTTACATATATATATTTGCTGTTTGTTGTATATATATAATTTTGCAGCAGGCGGTTCTGCTCACTAAAGTTGCCTTATTTGAACCAATTGTTACTCAGTCAAATAAAAGCAAAGATGCAGTAAAAACTTTTTTTAATCACAACACAAGGCACTCTAAGAGAGTAAAAGAGGTTTCTATTTAATATAATAGATTGCAGAAGATGAGAATATTGCCATATTCCCTCATAGGAAATTCAAAAACTACCATAATTGTTAAAGTCTGATCCTCTGAGAGTATTATGGGGGTAATATAACCACTTTCTGCCAGTGAAGGAGCTCTGATTTGCTTCAAAAGTGATTTCACCAGCATCAGATTGAACATTAGGATTAAATGTGATGAGTAATTAAAAGTAATGGCAAATGCAGCTCATAAGCGGACAGCTGAGGTAGATGCAGGGAAGTCTCTCAGTTAAATTATTAAAAGGGGGCCTTGGGATGC